TCGAGCGAACACGGCGCGACCTGGATTGATAAAATTACCATTACATGCAGCTATCATGCCAGTGATTTCTCCTTTCGTCGCATAGTGAATAGTTTGTGAGCACATCCTCGACTCGCGAAACATTTGTCTTGCGCCGCTATAGAAATTGCTTCTCCCGCGAACCATAGGTAGATTTCCCGCTTAACATAATGTTTGATAATTTATGCAAAAGTTGACCTCGTGAAAGTCAGCAGTGCATTAATCGACTCAAAAGTAAACAGACTTCCTACAGGGTTTTGAACACGGTTTTAATTAAAGTACTTTACGAGCGCTGCGGTAGTTGACCGCAAAATTGTTACGGTGATGGATACTCAACTGGATGATTACGTCACTTCATAGCAACCAGACGGTACGAATTTTTTAACTTCCGGAGCGCTGAGGCTCGTAGTGATCCTAAGACATTGTAGTCGCGTGGGCTTCACGCCTAACCCTCGACCATATTAAAAAAGGGGGAAAATGAGCTACGAATTTCGACTTATAATTCTAAAAAAAGGAGTCTCTTACTCTCTCTTAAAGAATATTACAAAGCTGCGTTTAAAATTTGGGACTTTTTCGAACTTTAGTGAAAGTAACTGCACTCAACCATTTTTTCAAAATATTCGCATTGTTCAAGAATGGAATAAACGACCGCAACAGTAGTAAAGGCGAGAATTTAGAAACTTTAAAGTAATAATATTTAAAAAGTTTTTTTTTACACGGAGTGTTTTTTTTAAGTCTTTAAACTCTCTAAATTGTGGTTTAAATCATTTCTCAACTTGTAAATAGTTAGTTTAAGTTATATCTTTTCTCTTTCATTATTGTTACCACTGCGGGCTTCTTCATGTACATAAATTATGTTGTTATTCGATTTTCCTACTGTTTCCTTTACACTGATGTATTTTATTTATACTTTTTTCACATAATGAATAACTAGTAGGCATGTATTACGTAATCTCCTCCTCACTATCAAAATAGGAGTCCATTGTCGACCGAGTTTTATAGACTATTCTTTGTCTAGTACTGTAGAAAGTGTACATAGCGTTATGGTGTTTAGAAGTCGTATGAATGGAGTATATACTAGTATTCTTAGTGTGCTGAAGGAATCGCCCTATGCTAGCAAGTATCTATGCACCTGTTTTGACTAAAAAGATTAGGGAGCTGTGAATAGCTTGAGTCTACACATCTCAAACTGGTCAGATTCATTATTTAAACAAGTAATATATTTGGAAGTTTCGTGTAATCCATCCTTATTCTACTCATGTTTTTAATTTTAGGAAACGCCGTGTTTCTTTCCGGAAACATACTCAGTTTTAACCAGAAATTGCCATGAAGTTTTGACTTCAAATAATCAATTTATTCAAGCGTAATAAAAGCGAATAAAAAATTGTCAACCTTGTCAGTTTTATATATCCAATCACATTGAAGCATTTTAGTTGGGTACAGGCGCTAATGTGAGCCATTAGCTGAAAATGGAAATTAGTTCGGTGTTTTCGCCGCCAGCATACAAAACTCTTTGACGTCAGAGCTAACGAAAACATTGAGAATTTATGCGAATTAGAGCGGTGTGTTGATTGCAAGAACTACTTGTTTATCAGCAGCACGCACCACAGAGAAACGTTTATGAGTCTCGCAAGGTTTTGCGCATCCTCTTTCACTAAGAAGCGAAAATTATGGTGAGTATATGTCGTTATCGCTGTACAATGTTCGTCCGATTTTGCACGATTCGCTGCTCAAAGTGTTTTCTCGAGTTGAAACGTCAAAACAAAACCCAAACCGTCTCAAATTATGCCTGGATTATTTTCCTGTCTGACGCTCTTTTATTTTTCCCGTTTGTCTGCACGTTTCTCACTCGTCTGTTATTTAAAATTTTATTTTAGGCTGATCGTGAGCTTTCCGAGGAGCAAGTAAACGGTAAGCAAGCTTGACATAAGACAGATGATCGTTACTAAAATATCTTGACAATCTCACATGTGATTTAATCTTTAGCTTTACTTATATCGCTGCAGCAGCGACCCAGAATTGTTGTGTTTTTTTAATAAGAAATATCGTTCGATTTTCTTCTTTTTCGCAGAGCTACGCGAGGCTTTTTCTCTTTTTGACAAGGATGGGAGCGGCACTATATCAAATGACGAACTGGAGGTTGTAATGAAGTCATTGGGACAGAACCCAACTCAAAGCGAATTAAAAAAGATGATACAAGAAGTCGACGTGGATGGTATTAACTACGTTTTTCTGATGTTAAATTTGTTTTAAAACGTTGCACCTTATTTTTAATGTAAACCAAAAAAGTGCTAGATATAGGCACGTCAATAACATGGTCAAACTGAAAGAAAGATCCTTATTATCTCAGTATATTTAAAATTGCTGGAACCAAGCAGTGACTGAATTGGCTGCTGTCGCGGATTATTAACAAAAACACACACGTTTTAAGAGTCGTTCTTGGCGGATACATCATTCACATTTTATGATATAGCTTCCAAGTCGATCTAATATTTTGCTTGCCTTTGCAAAATATTTTGTGACACTGGTAAATTTCCGGGTTTATATAGAAAAAACACGGAGAAATTAATCTCTAAGCGAATTACTCCCCGTTGACAAACTTATTATAATTGAAACTGTTCTAAAGTAGCTAAGGCTGAAACAACGAGCAACTTTAGAACCACTTTCCGGCTGCAATATCTGACATAAACCTTTATGAAACTGAAAATACGTGAAGAGGTCAGTTTATTTTCGTAATAAATGGCAAACTGATGCAAAGCTGTCATTTCAACTTTCATACTCGGTTCAACCAAATAAGTTTCAGATTAGCATGACAAAAGCTTGTCATTGATTTCTGATTTCCACACACTTGTTCCGTTCTGATGTGAAGCCATCGATTTTCTTCTATATAGTAACGTTTTCTTGGCTATTTTATATATATTTTGAAAAGAGCTAACAAAGACGGCGATTTCGGCCAAATTTTCCTCAGATTCGCTTAAAATGAGAGCGTTGCCCAGTACTGGTTGCAATTGGCTCGCGAGCAAAAATAAATATCTTGCCCCCAAAGCCGGGCTCAACCACTGAGCTCATAGTATGTTACTTAACAAGTAAAAACGAACATATCAAAACCGACTGAAATCCATATAAAATCGTGTACGTTTGCAAAGGCTTTTTCAATTAAGTGATCGATTATCTAATGGAGTAAACTCACGGCAACGTAGAAGGCCTTAATTAAAAAGTTTATATTAGGGTTAGTACGTACGGAAATGGGCATCTTCCATGTTTGCCTTAAAACGCCATGAAGACTTTTTGCGGCTAAGCGGCATAAGTTCAGTTTATCATCGTCCGTTGACATAAATAAAAATAATGGATTGATAAATTAAATTCCTCAATTCTCTTTTGTTTTTAAGCCCAATTACATTAGGTATAAAGTCGACACCCACATATCTATTAAAATTTAGCCTAAGAAGCAATAGATTGTTTTGCTGTTGTATACTGTTACAACAGTTTTCGATATAAAAAGACAAGATTAAGCGCTTACCCACGTAAAGTTAAATTTAATTATACTGGATAGCCTTCAAAATGACAGCAAAAACTAGATTTTAATAGCTTTGATTTTTTTTATTATTTATTATTTTTATTTATTTATTTATTTACAAAAAATAATTACAAATACGTGTTCTTTTAACTATTCAAAACTATTGTCTTTTTCACAGCGGGCTGAAAATAATAAAAAGAAAAAAACTGAATTCGTAAAGGAAAGAAGCGAAATTAAAAGGAAAAAGACGGAAACCTAATAAGTGAAACAGTAGAGCAGTAGAGTGTAGCTTAAAGGAACAGATGTGATACCTAGAAAAAAAAGGTCTCTCGTGATGGAAAACAGTTGGTTCAAGCTTAGATTATCCGCGCCGGAAGCACGCCAACTACGATCCATCTTTAGTTTTAAATTTTTTGGATATCTTCAGTGGCATGACTTCCGTCCAAACGATGTGGTGCTTTTCGATTAAGGCGGCAGAAACTTAAAAACCTTTTGCTGGTTATCTGGCAAGTCCCTCGAACATTCTGTAAAAAACTGAAATTTCGATTCGTCCTTTTGAACTTGTCGAAACATTAAGCTTCGAGCAAACTGCTGAAAATCGGCCTGCAATTCCTTAGTCTTATAAAAATGTTTTTTTAAATTTATTTTTGCTCCGAAAATTAGGGCCTTTTGGGATTTCGAGAGTTTTTTATAATCGACATTGAGGACTCCGCTTGCGAACGTGATGTCGGATCGGAGACGGAGAGACTGGAGAGAGATCATCTGTTCGGAGCATCCCTACCAGCGTACATGGGAGAGATAAACTGAATGATGATGATACGAACCATTTAAATGTGAGAACTTCATTTTAAAGAAGTCTTAATTCTGGGAATTCTGGTTGGACTAGCACAAATTATGTTCAGTTTCTTTTAAAAAAAAAAACATTATAGGAGGTTATTATTTATCTGAAATAATATAAAATGCGAACTCGTGATGTCTAAAAGGTGTTTTTAAGATTTTTCAATCAATTCAATTACGGTCCGAGGAGAAAATAGTTTCCTCTTATTGATTTTACCAGTGAAGAAGGAAGCCCTTAAGTCTAGCAAGCTAACGATACTGCTGATCATAAACAGAAAAATGAAAATAGCACTGATGGAATAATTATAACATAACGTGCCGCCCATCATTAATTCAACCAGCGTGTTGACTATGCACGGATAGAGTACTGCGATAAGGTCACGTTCAGATTGAATTTATCATTGATAATTGGCATACATTATGGTAAAAACGTGAGTTGAATAGAACGGATGATATTTCCTCTCCGGTATGAATTTACTAAGTATCTGCAAAACGAAGGGTTTGTGAAAAAAGAAAACGGACAAACACGCTCCGGAAAGAAAAGGAAAAAGAAAAGATGACCCAAGATCAGATCAAAAATCCGGATCTTTGGGATTTTTCTTTAAGGAAAGAAGTGATGTATCTAAAAAAGGATTATTCTTCATTTATTTCCATATAAACGACCCACAATATCAACGGTATTTCGGAGAAAAAATAACACGGCTACGGACAGTGTTGCTAGTTTGCCGATCTTTCATTTAGCTGAAGGAGACTGTTTTAGACGGGCCAAATGAAGACGAGTCTTTCGGTTAGATATGCCTGGAAAAGTAAGTCTTGTAAGACGCGCCGGCGAAGTTGTGTAGCTGAATTTTGTCCTTGTGAACTAGAACAATGCCTGTTTGTTTTGCAATTTTACCACCCAAATAAAACGGACAAAATTGATTGTAGTCAAACAGCCGATATATGTATTAAAATTGTTTCGTGTTACCACTGGCAGTATTCAATCTTTTTGGATCCGTAGCAAAGAAGCGCTTCGGAGCACGTATCCAAAAGTATCCCGTTTTGAATATGATCCAAAGAATCCATACGTCCATTATGGATAATTTGGAAATCCGTTTTTGGATTTTAGTAAAAGCAACGAACTATCCGGTGGGATAAAACGTCCGGATTTGGATTTTAGTAAAGAAACACAGCCTAAGGCCTGCATCTAAGCCATTTATGGTTTTTATGTACATTTTCCAAATTAAAACTACTGTCAAAGACATCCACGAGAAATGATAGATGGTAAACTAAACTAGCTATAAACTAAAAAAGATTTGAGAAAAAAATGCAAATTATTTGGTCACGTGACCGATTACGCTCTCTGTTGTTCGAAGATGTAACCAAGGAGTAGCTCAAGTTTCTCTGCATCTAAAAATTGACCCTACAAAGTATCTAAAATGGTTCGAAGCGTTAAAATTCGCAGGTGCAATTGGTGTTCATTGACTAGTGCCAGTTCTCCTCTTACTAGAACGTTCGTGAGGAGAAAGACTTATTGATCTCGTCTCATTCCGACCGTTTTTACGAGAAGACTATTAGTAGCCAATTTTTTTGACCTACAAAAGGAAAACAGTTTGCTCTAAGTATCTGATGGGAATGTCGACTCAAGGATTTCTCGATAAAACAGGGCGAGGCTGGTAACGTGATTCAGTTATAAACAATTTTTGATGGGCCTTAAATTATTAGTCATGGGATATCTTAAAAATACTTTACATTACACCACCCCCCTTTAAAAATTCTGAGCAATCTGTCAAGAGCCAGGCCTTAACCTACTTGAGTACGAGATAAATTTCATTGCGATTTAAACAATCGCTCCTCACTAGCTCTATAGGAAAGGTATAGGGGCAAGAGATGAGGATTTAAATTTTGGTATTAGAGTTTGAAGGGTTAATTAACCCTTAAGATTGGATATTAGAAAACCAGATTTGACTCTCCCGATAAAACTTGGAGTAAATTGCAAACGTCAAGTCAATGATTTATTATTCTCATGCAGATAAAACGCTTTTTCTAAGACTCTTTGAAACTCGGATATGGCCTATTGAAATACTAGTCTGTTGTACTGAGTGAATTGTAGGAAACCCAATGCAGACACAATCAAGTTCCTATAGATTCCTTCACAATGTGTTCACGCCTTAGCAATTTTCCTAGCCTCTTTTGTGTTTTTGACGTCGCTTTGTCTGCACTTAACTACTCATTACAACTCTTAATCTACCCTTCTTTGTTCACTTCCAATAGTACAGACACGGTTTGAGTTGTGTTGAAATAAAAAAGAGTTAACTTAACATCGATGTTATATCAGACTGATCGACTTGGAAATAAGGTGCTCATGGTTATTAGGCAAAAAGTCAAAAAATGCCAGAACGAGACTAAACGTACCAATAAAATGAAAGACATGAAGTTCATTTATTTTCCTTTCTTATTTTGCACTTAATTGAATTGATCCCGGAAGTCTGAGAAAAACATCTAGTATGACTTTCCGTTTTCAAGATATGGAAACCTGAATAACTGTCTTAGTATTAATAGGTAATCACATGATGAACAAGCACGAGTAAATTTTTCAGAGACCATCAAAAGTGCAGTGGGGCAAGCGAGCTCATCTAAAATTCTGGCGCATCACGGCCTCGCCCAGCGCTTATTTGGTTTACTCTCGCTCGTTGTCGTTTGCTTCCATTTATATTAAGATAATGGGAAAAGGCCAAGGTCACTTGTATTCTGTGTCTATATGAAAATACATAATTGATTTGGATTGCAAGGAGCTGACTATTTGGATCGATTATTAAGACCTGGATACATCAACTTAATCATGAAAGGACGCAACAATTAACCTAAACTTTCTATTAAAATTGTCCTTTAACATTTTTTCCCTGGTCGCTCGCTTGGTCGCGCTGCGCGACCTCGTTGAAGCTCGCTTCCCTTGCTAAGACTTATGATAGGTCGACTTGTAGCAAGTGTACTGTTAACCGTCTTCTCAAGCTCATCTCAGTCAGTTATTTTTCCCCTAGGGAATGGAGAGGTAGACTTCGAAGAATTCTTACTGATGATGAAAAAACAAATGATGTCTCGAGACGCCGACAGCGAAATGCTTGAAGCTTTCAAAGTTTTCGACAGGAATGGGGACGGACAGATCAGGTGAGATCTATAGACAAGATGAGGTTCTGTCACATTCCTCACCCGTAAATCTCTTGAATTATGCTATACCATCTTCCGAATTAGCGAATTTGCGTTTGTGGTCTTTAAGGGTATCATTTTAAGTTCCTGCTTTACTTGGTCATACTCAAACGCAGCTATAGCCAGTTAAAAAGGCAGTTGTAGGGAACAGTCCTTCTTCAATTCTTATAAAAGTGGTCTTTGCCATCTGGACTAACAAATTACAGCTATGTATCTGAGTTCGGTAACAGAATGTGGCCTCAGACGGGCTAAGAGTAAAAGAAAAAGAACGTTTTCTTAATAACTTTCAAAATAAATGGCGATTGTACAATATTTTCCATTTGTCTTTGTTTATAGTCCAGGCGAATTAAGAAATGTAATGACGAGTTTGGGGGAGAAGTTGACGGAGGAAGAGCTTAGTGAAATGATGAAGGAAGCTGATCTTAATGGAAATGGTTTTATTGAGTTTGAAGGTACACTTTAGTATTAAATCTTAGTCTGCCCTGGTAGAGTACCCTTTGGAATTCTTTGTGCGAATATACAACCCTTTTTTCCTCTTTGAGTGGAAAGTGGGCGTTTTTTTTCCCCGCTCTCTTTTACACAAGTAGATGCTTGTTAGATTAGCCCCTGATATTCGCCCCCCAGATTAACCCCTGATATTTCCCCCCCAGATTAGCCCCTGATATTCGCCCCCCCCGATTAACCCCTGATATTCGTCCCCCGATTAGCCCCTGATATTCGCTCCCCAGATTAACCCCTGATATTCGCCCGTACAATGTAGATTAGCCCCTGATATAGACCAATATTATTATTGCACGATGGTTTGTTTCATTACAGAATTTGTTCACATGGTGTCAAATATTTCCAAGAACCCAGAAGGACCTCCTCAGTATTTGCTGGCTACGAAATAGTTCAATTAGTTTAGAATCAGTCGGCTTTCCGTTATCTACTTAAAATATTCAGTTTATTGAGAGTAGTGTTCGAATGAATTTCACACGACGTCGTCTCAAAGACTCTTCATTCCTGGAGAATCGTTCAACGAAGACGATTAGAATATAACCGCATATACAGCGTTTTCCGCTCCAATTTGAAACGTAGAGAGGTCCAGAAACTGAATTGTTTCAAACAGAAAAAAGGACTCACGGTGAAAGCCACCCAGTCATTCGAAGACTGCTCTGTTGTAAAATTATTACTCCCAAGTTATTGCAGGAGCAGGGCTCCTGGTTATTGTAAAGTAGAAACTGATCGAAGAAAAGCATTATGCATTTGAACATGGTTCGATCGTGAGCCAATGAGACGAAGGCGCCTGGTTGCGCTTGAGATTGGGTCAAGATTGTGTCGAAATGCACCATGGGACTGTTTCAGGGGACGAACCATTTTTCTCCCAGTTTTCAGTGCAACTTTTGCCCACATCCTCAGTTAATCCTTCAGGAAATCGAGGGTGAAAGGAGGAATTAGAAGGGGAGAGATATAAATGGCCCTCAGCGACGGAGTTGCGACAGCAGCAGCAGCAGCCCATAATCCGTAGCAAGCAACATTCATGTACTTGTGTCATTTTCACTGACCAGTCAATTTTTTCAACGATTTTGACGCGAATTTGTAGCATCGTCAGTTTAAGTGCAACGAACCAATCAGCAACCTGCCCTGAAAAGGATATTTTGGACCTTTTAATGACGTTTAGTTTTCGTTTTTTATATCCTATTTCTTGAATGTGCTCATAGTCGGAGAGGAGCTTCCATTTTCGCGGGAAAAATTGTTCTAAAATGTATCTGAAAATAAACCGGTCCGTGAAAACGCCGTGACGTACGTAGCCCTAGTTTGGGAGTTGCTCGCTCCACGCCCCCTGGTTGCAGTAATTGTACAGCGGAACCTCTATATAACGAAGTCCTCGGTATAACGAATGATTTTCTTTACCCCAGTAATAGTAAAGTATATGAAAAATAACCTCGATAAAACGAAACCTCGTCAGTATAGCAAACAAATGTTGCCAGTCCCTTGGCCCTTCGTTATACATCGAAGTTCTATTGCACATATGCAAAAAATCAACTGGGTCTCGGGTAACATAGCATCGCGTCATTGTCACGAGTTAAGCGTCAGTTTGATGGTTTGATTATTTAAAAGGTAATATTTATTACTGGAGAAGTTTTCTCTGTTTTCCCGTCGAAAACTGACCGTTCACGCCAACTCCGGTGTGAAGGTGATCTGACCTTGCTCACAGCCCTCTACATGAGCTGTCTTTGACTCAACAATTGTATCATCAATATGATCTCTAACTAATCCGTTATAAAAAGCTTAAAGATTTAAATACCAAGTGTTTATTCCAAGACAAACGATAAGTGAACTTATCATGCACTTACCATAATGGACAATATCTTTCACTATATAGATTGACACTGATACATATTAATGCAGCAACCAGCTGACGGGTACTCACCGAAGTTATATACGGGGACGCTCCGCCCCAAGGTCTAACCCTCTATCATTTTACATACCTTTTTTAACATAAAAGGTATCCCTCTCTTATACCTTCTACTGACAAATGGTACCCCTTACGACACAACTAGTTTAACACTCTGCTTCACTTTTAACTGCTGAAAATGCTCCGTCTTTTTAATACGAATAAATCACTAAACCAAAAAGTTTCCTTGTCTCTTTCGCATCCATAAAATGCGTCTGTTAGACCCTTCTGATCCTTTTACAGACCAAAATAACAGATTTCCCTACCCTTTTATATACTTCTAATGATGAAAACCCACTTTCTTACATATACCTGAAGCCTGAAAAAAGCACCCCTTTCGGGCGGAGCCTCCCCGTATAGCAAATCCCCCGGGAGAGCAACAAGCACTGACGGTTGTGTTTCCCGCTTATATCAAGGTAGCACTTTTTCCAGATAACTGTTTTTCTTTTGCGAAAAATTTACTCTTTTTTGTACATATAATCTACTAAGTAGTCTTCTACGCATCCCCAATGTTGTGCAACTAAGTTGTGTGGGAGCATTTGTAAAATAAATAACCAATAAAGATAAAGAAAGAAAAGTACGTTGGTCAGAGTTATTCCCTAATGCACACCAGCCAGGAGCTCATGAATCAAAAATAGAAGGATACGGGCAAAGGATCCCTCAAAAATATAGAGCGTATGGAGGTCTGGGTCAGAGGCTCCAGCAGGCAGATAGGGATGGGTTCCTGGCAAAGGGGGTCAGGGGCCTGATAGTGTCCCTTTAAGCCCGCGCTGGTGTAAGTTAGTTTGCCTCTTGCAGTATGCATTCAATTCCACAAAGCTAATCGTACTACGTGGAAATAAACTTAATTTGAAAGAAATCAACGCGACACCGACAGAACCCAAAACAGAGCGGGGTTGTAGCCGTCGACAGCTCAGTGTTTTCGCCATTATTGTGGCTCGTCAGGACGGTGCAACAACAGGCAAAACAGAAGATCGGCTGAGAAAATACCCGCTCGCGCTGTTTTAAGCCTTAACATTGAACCCCATCACCCACAGAATCACGCTTTATCACGTGTCTCCAGGTGGCAAGAGTCCAAGTGTCGCTTTGATGTCTCGCAAAGAAAGTGTATACTTTGAGGACAAAACCAACCTTAGAAACATGGACAAAACCATGCAAAATGAACAGCATATCGGATTTGCGGTGCAAAAATGCTATTAGAAATAAAGGAACATTAACTGTAAAGGACCGCAAACGATCTTGCCGCAGAACGTAGGATCTAAAGGAGACTCGTTTTTTCCTGCAGTATAGCCTGGGCGACCGGCACAAGTAAAGAGGAAGTGAAAGGAGAAAGTCGAAACAGCGAGAACCGAGTGCCCCTCGCGGGTTCTAACGCGAGTAATTTTTCTTTTACATGACAGCGTACTAAGCATCAGTGTACATGTAGCATGCAGTCAGCCTAGTCCCCAGAAGTTGTCAGTTCGGTCAAACCGGGATTCGACCCTGCGCTGTAGAGATCGCCTAGGGACTAGGGTGGCATGCAGTGAATTGGCCATTTGGGGCTACATACGCTAGCGCTTTGAGACCGAGCCGGCTGTTGTGTCGAAACATTATGAGAATGTTTTCGAAACACTATCGCGAGCCTGCGCGAAAAAAAAAAAAAAAATAGAAGAAAAGAACATAAACACCAGCTAGGGACCAAATTTCATGACAAGCCCACAGTGCAGCATCCAGTGTCAGAAAGCCTCGGGTTTGTTGGATTGCTGCCGCGAAGAGATAGTTTCTTCTAAGACTTCGTGAAGGTCTCTCTATCTAATTAGTATGTTCTGTAAAAGTCATCAGGGGGGAAAGCAAAAGAGTTCGCCCTTGTCACTCCCGTAAAATGCCCTCATTTTCTCAGCATCGGCCTGATCGGCTGGGGATCGGCCGAATCCCGTTTGAGATAACCCTTTATAGCTATCTTTTCTGTATTTGCTCTTTTTTTCCAGCTTCCCACCACGGCCACCACCCTCACAATGTTTTAACGTTTGCAATTTACAGTAGCCTACAAATTAGGAATTAAAGGAAAAAGAAAACAAAATAATTATAAAGCTAATAATAATAATAATAATAATAATAATAATTTTAATGATACCCAAGAGATCATAATCAGTAAATTCTCACTTGACCCTATTACGAAATCACCATGAGTGTACAGCGGAGAAGTAAAAACTGCATGCGCAACAATTGTGCGCAAACATCGTGTGAAAGAACGCCTGGAAGATATTAGCGTTTTCAAAGATGGATAAGCCAAATATAATTGAGCACGTACATAAACCCTTAGATTATACGCTCTTTGATGCTCGATGGATCCCTTGCAGTCCGAGATTTGTTGTACTTGGAAACTACCCACGTGGCACTGGTGCTTTGCAAATATACGAGGTTTCGAAGGGCTCTGTCAATCTCCTGAAAAACGTGAGTAAAACATCAGACATGCTGCATAATTTAAAGTAGTTCGTGTAGCTTGTCTGTCGCGAAACAAACGAACTGTGCGACAGACAAGTCACGCAAACGACTTCGTAAACGCTAAAAGTCACGCAAGAGAGAAACCTCTGTTCGCAGGGTAATTTTATATCTGCCCTCAGTTAAGAAAAAATTTTGATTTTTAAATACTGCAAATAGATCCAAATAATGAGCATTCAATTTATAGGGTATATTAATATTAATACTATAAATGCTGTTCACTTTATAGGATGAGAAAAGGACAGCTCTGAAATGTGGTACTTTTGGTGCTTCAAGTTTGCAACAGAGATATTTAGCAACAGGAGATTTTGATGGGAAAATGATGATATGGTTTGTCATTCAACTAACAAATAAATTGTACTGTTTAGAATCCCACTAAATTATTAGAATAACTAAATGGTTGACAGCATGAGACTTTTAAAAAAGGTGTTATCAGTATGTTAAGGCAGACCTAACTAGTAGCAATGGCAGAGCCATGCAAAATCACCACCAATTCCATTTTGTGTTTCACCTACAGCCAACTCTCTCTAAGACGGACACCTTTGGGACCGGCATCAAGTGTCCGTCTTAGAAAGATGTCCGTCTTATAAAGAGTCAAATAAAGGGAATAAGCAAAGGCAGGGACCAACTCTGGGTGTCCGTTTTACAGGGGTGTCTGTCTTATAGAGGTGTCCGTTAGGAGAGAGTCAACTGTAAACTCTTTTTTTTAGCTTTTCTATGTCCCTTTTACTCCAAGACCATATTATGAGGAGAGCAGAGACCTTACACTGTCTTTTTGTATGTACATGTTGTGGTTCAATTTTATCCTTGGTTTAAATTTCATTGTATTTTGTTTGAAACTTATTATCTTACATTACCATACCCAAAAACAAAAGAAAATAAAATTTAAACCAAGGATGAAATTAAACCACAACATATACACTAGTCAGGTAAAATACCTGTATTCATTGCTGTAAATAGTGGTAGACTGCCCCTTACCCTGGAAGGTTGGGTTAAATTTTGTCAGGTACATGCGCCACTGGCCTCTCTGAACCCCTTAACCCTATTTATACAGTGTTGTCTATTCTGTAGCCAATTGTAGACCCTCTTTTAGTCACTTTTGGGTAAATGTAATTTTTGCAATCCCAACTTAGCCAATTTCTGTTTATGCATCTACCCTAAAAAACCTTTTAACTAGGTCATCCTGAAATGAATAGTAATGTAAAAATCTTCCCAAATAGGACCACATATAGCAGTACCTCCGAGTTGCCTTATGACAAGGAAGAACCCTCCCAGCCCTGCTTCCCCCCTCCTCCTCTCCCGGCCCCTTTCTTAAGAGAACAGGGTTTTCACTTAGAATTCTAGTAGCAGGAGAAAGGTGTAATGTTATAGAGGAGAATATTTTGAAAGAGGCTGCACATGTGTCTGAATAAAAAATAGTGGTAGGCTACCAAACATTTTCCAGACTGCATAGTTAACGGCGAATTCTCCGATCCCTAATGAACACCCTGAGAGAAATAGCTAAGCCACTGTGTAGAAAGATGGTGCCATTACCTCAAATGGGAACTCCTTTTCACCTTCATACAACTGTAAGGCAAACATGTTTCCTTACACTTGAATTTGGGTAGAAACTATGCATCTCAAGGTCCCTCAGGGCTTAAAAAAGACTTGAATTCCAGTTTGTCCTTTGAGCAAGCTGCTCTCTCATTTTGGTTGCCCAGGGCTACTTCTTGCTCTTCTTAGTTAATGATTTAGTTAGATCAGTTGCTTGGACACTTGCCCATTGGACAAGTGAATTATAAAAGTTACTTGCTCAGAAGGAAATGTACTTCAATATCCTGGATGACTTGATGGTACTTTTTTCGAGCCCTGCCCCTACTATTTTTCACTTGATCTAACAAGTAACTTTAAAATCTATGGACAATATCTATGGTGTTACCTTGAATGAGGCCTTTACAGCAGATTGTTTGGATAGTACATGTACTATTAACATTTCTTTAGATTGTGTCTTTTGTTGGTATATCATTTGTATATTTAAGTACTTACCAGTAATGAAGTACCATTTTGTTTTCATGCAGGAATCTTGAGAATACTGAGAGACCAGTCTATTCAGTCAAAGCTCATTCACAGATAATAAATGCTATAGATGGAGTTGGAGGTCTCGGTATTGGGGAAGGAGCTCCAGAAATTGTTACCGCGAGTAGAGATGGTAATTCAGTCTAGAGTTATTGTATTTTATAATGATAATAATAACAGTTATAATAATAATAGTAATAATATTAATAATAATAAAACAACAATTTTATTCAAAATATGTACATAATTTACAGAAATATTTTGAAGTAAGGATTAAGCACTATACAACATTAAAAATTATATAAATCATAAAAATAGAATCACTGTGTCCTTGTGGCTCAGATGTGATCAATAACTTATGCAGGCAAGTCCAGTGTTTTAAGTTAAGTCATGACAAAAGAGAATTATCCGTCTCTGACATTAAAAAAGAAACAGGTTAGAAAAGTTCCTATGTAAAAAAAACAAAACAAAACAAAATAAAACAAAAAAAAATGATAATAATAATAAACATTCAAATCCACTAGTTGTTCGTGGAGCTTTTAATTCAGCAGTATTAAAAATATAAGATATAAAACACTTAACTCTAGTAGTAAATCAAACCATCATTGATAAATTTAATTTCCTAAACAGGTAGGTCTAGAATATTAATAATTTTATTAACAACTGTAATAAGTATCAATTAATAATTAATTACATAATTATTTGTAATTTAAGTATTAATAATACTTTTAGCAATATTATTGAATGAGGTTGAGTATCATCTGAAGAATTATGGACATCGAAGAGGGTTGCGGTCTTGTTGGATAACACTGAGTTCGAACCAAAGGTTCGATTGTATACATGCTTACTCAATCATCATCAAAATTAATACAATATAAAAGGTAAATATCCTAAAGAGTACTCGACCATTGGTAAAGTAGGAAGTGAAAAACTTTTAGAGAGGAAATCCTGTTTCGTGTTGAATTAATTGTCTCCTCATTTGTCCAAGCAAGCGAGACTTAATACTTTTTTAAGAGCGTTCTTGTTTCATCTTTTTAAAAACGCTGGATATTGGCCTTGCTCTTTCTCCACATTAAGAAAAATAAAATTAATCAAATGTAAAAATGAACTTGGCCAATATCCATTCGTCTTGACTTTGTACTTCGTGAATGATGCGTATAATTCATTTTTCATTTGCCAGGATCAGTAAAAGTCTGGGATCCTCGTCAAAAGGACAAACCAGTTGCTAACATGGCTCCAGCGGAGGGAGAAGAGGGTAGAGACTGTTGGTGTGTTGCGTTTGGTAAGCTTTAAATGTGTCTTTTTTTAAAATTTCATTACAGAGATTTATGCTACTACATGAGAAATTTCTGCAATTTGATTGGCTTAGAACAGTGGTATTTCAGCTTAATTTGAAATAACTACATGTGAAAATTACAAACCTTTTGTTGGTAGTAGTATAAACAAATAAAATAGCATTATTTGTACGTGATATTTGGCATAAATACCACTCGTGATATTTCAAAATTGTCGCCTTAAACGGCTCGTGAAATTACATATAACAATTTTGAAATATCACTCGTGGTATTTATGCCAAATATCACTACAAATCATGTTATTACCTATACTAATAGTTTTGATCATGCACTGTTATAATAAGTGGAATGGTTATTGTGCATGTTATACATGTATAGGTGTATTCATGACTGTCTCTTTGGGAAGGTGTGGCCTTGGGAGGGATATTGACTAAATTTTTCGTAACCTGACTGTAGGAGTCATCAGTACTCTATGTTATAAACCTAGCTAATGACTTTTTATATTATTTCACCAGATGCAATTTGTATATTATTTATTAATGCCCCTTAAGTAATAATATATATTTTTGTCTTCTGTAATTACTTGCAATTTGCTTGGGTTTAGTAGCTGCAGTTGCCCTTATTCAGCAACATTTGTTATAACGTGATAAGTAAATTGGCTTAAAGTATCAAGTCATTGGTCATAGTTTATGTTGCATACATGTAGTACTTCCATAGAGCGGTTTTCATTTGAGTGTCGAAAAGTAATTGGTTTTGCACTTTCTACACGATGCGATTGGCTTAAAAGATTCGCGCCACCTTTTCATCCAATCAGAAGTAAAACCAAAGCCAATTGTGACACGCTCACATGCATTTTCCCGCGCTTTGTGTCAGCCACATGTAATTACTTCGAGTTTTGATTGGTTCAATGTATTGTCTGTGTCCTATGTGATTGGCCAGAATAATTACTTTGGTTTTGGTTTTACGACACTCAAACGAAAACCACTCTATCAAGGAATGTCATGACAACAATAATATTAGTTCCCTCCTTTGTTTGTTCCTTTTTTGTAGGTGACGCATTTAATGCGGAGGAACGCACTGTTGTTGCAGGCTACGACAATGGAGATATCAAGATGTTTGACTTGAAAAAAATGGCCGTCAGATGGGAGACAAACATTAAAAATGGGGTACTCTTTCTGATCCTGTTTGACATTTACTGTTTAGTAATAAAATTAATATATCAAACATGCAGTGTTTCATACAAGAAAATCACACAGCTGGAAGTGTGTTTCGGAGCCAAGTTTTTTTCACACTAACATTGAGTTGTCTGGATATCAGTCTGAGACAAATCAGTGTTTAGTGTTTGCATGATATAAGCTTCAAAAATAAACAATAAAAAAACATTATTATTCTTGAAGAAATTGAAAGCTATAGCTTACAAACGTTTTTAGGCTGTTCATAGTCTCCTGCTTATTTTTTCATAAGTTTGTCAGGATCGAGTGCTTTCTGGTACTGGCGGCCATCTTGGTTGCATATATACCCGGGGGGGGGGGGTAGTTGGGGTTATAGCAGTGAGGGGAGGGTGGCTTCATCCCAAACCGTGCCCTGCCCTGCCCTGTATTAAAGTAGATTTGACACTCATTCAAGATGGCCACCCTTAATGCAAAGTGCTCGATCGCGACAATCTTATGGTAAAATAGAGGTCCATGAACAGTCTAAAACGTTTTGTGTTAATTATTTAGGACAAATATCCAATCCTTCTTCATGGTAGTTCCCTTCTTTGTTTTCTCTCCATGTATTTTTGGTACAAGTATTAATTATTCAAACCGTTCAGGATTTTGTATTGTCTCAAGATTACAAACTTGATGCCATGTGGTAATCTACAAGTGATGACAAATGTCATTTACTTTTGCAGTTTTGTTACTCCTTTCTAACCAACTCAGCTGATATATATTTTTTTCTATATAAGAACATCTATTTTTTAAGTTGAGCCTGGACTGTTCTTATTTTCTGGGCAGTTTTAGCAATTTCAATAACGGAAATCTGATAACTCTTTTTCAGCTACATAAATATTTTAAATCTGATGACAGGAAGCTTGTTTTAGCATTCAATGTATCACATTACACTGAGTCTTTAATGTGGCTTCGCCCCATGCATCATACACGAGAATCACAAAGTTCAGTTAATTTCTTCTAAAGCATCTTTCTCAGGCCAGCCTACCCTTGCCCAATTTGGGAATGTGTTTAAAGAACAAAATTTTACATGCACTCTGATTGCATGTAAGACATTATGAAATACAGATTTTCTGGTTCTAGGAAAGTTATAGGAATGAAAAATGAATATTGTTCTTCTCTGAGACTCGGATATGTTCTTAGCAAGTTCTTAATATTTTGGCAAATTTCTGGCTGAACATTCTTAGATTCCCCATCCCTTTCCCATGTTTTGTAGGTCTGCGGTGTAGAATTTGACAGAAAGGATATCATGATGAACAAACTAGTTGCTACTACATTGGAATCTAAATTTCATGTGTTCGATGTGAGAACACTGCACCCACAGAAAGGATTTGCTTCTCTCTCTGAAAAGGTAAATTGTGATTAAATGTTTTTATGTGTGATTCTTAGTGGAGTAATCACAGTCTGGGTAATCGAGGTTTTGACGTTTTACTTATAATATTTGGGACAGGTTAGGAGCTAGACAACTAACAACTGGGTCACTGCACTCCTGCTGGGTATTTTCGAGATTATGTTGTGTGGTTGGCAATGGAAATGGGCAAAATGAAGCCAGGCTTGTGGTCTGAGTATTAAATATTCAGTCAAGCAGGCAAGGGGGCCAGTGACTTGCCCGTTACGATTTCATGATTCACTACATTCCCACAAATAAAATTTGCTGTAACAAATTCTTTGCGTGGTTAGAATGGCTGGATATAGTGTTGTTGTTTCATTGCATTACTGGGAAAGACCTTTAGGTAACCCCTCACCGTATTCTTAACTTTGAATAGGCTCATAAATCAACTGTTTGGTGTGCTAGACATCTACCTCAGAATCGGGAAGTGTTCATGACATGTGGTGGGTCTGGGTCACTGAATCTCTGGAAATAGTAAGTACATGCTATCTTATTGCATGGCTAGAAGTCAACTTATGAACTTGGGTCTCTACGATTATCTCCAAAGAAACTGAGTGAGCAGATTGATCAATTCTTGCCTTTTTTTATAGCTTATTACCGTTAATAAAATAATGTTATAATAAAGTTCACAAATTTCATTTATGGTGCTGTCTTTAGAGGTAAAAAGGGTCATTTCTAAGATTTTTGTCACCAGCAATATAAATTAATGATTATTACATGAAAATCTATACAGCTGAAAATGACCTTAGACAGAGTTTATGGGGGCACTAGAGTACATTTTTGTAAGCGTTGTGACAAATTCACAACGGCAAACACACAGTAGATTTATACAATGTAGTAGTTGTCAGGACGTTAACAGTTTTCTACGGTGTACCATCAGTTCAGCTTGTGTCACCATTAAGGCCGGTATGTAACACTGTACAATTGCGGGACATTTTCCGGCTCTAGTCCCTTCTCGTTTCTAAGGTGGTGAATGTTACCAGGAAACTCAGAAAACTGTGAACTCTATGGATGTTTCTGGGGTTGTATCTGTGTTGCAAGGAAAAAGCTAACCAGGTACGCGAAAACTAAACGTTTTGTGGCTGGCTCACTTGCGTTGATCTTTTCCTCAACCAAGATTCCTGTAATACTGAATGTTTCAGGCCTCGATTGCTCAAACGTTGGATAACGCTATCCACCGGATAATTCACTATCCAGTGAATAAGTATTACTCATTAAAACAACTTGCGTTATTTACTTGATAGAGATTTGTTCAGATTTGTCCTGTTTTCTGAGTTGTACAGTACGAGCTAATGTACCGCGTACAAGATATGTTTGTAATAATATGCTTTTTTATACTTTAGCTCTTATCCTGACCAGCGGGTGAAGAAAGATCCTGATGACTTGGAAATGGGCGTCATTGGTTCAGTTTCGTTACTTCAAAATGCTAATTTATCAACACAGCCAATCACATCCTTCGACTGGAGTCCAGATAAGGTTAGTAGGGCGGATCCAGAAAATTCAGAAAGGGGAGCCGGAACACTTGCTACACTGTAGCTATCTAAATGGATCATATTTATTTTATCGAGAATTCTGTTAAACAGAGGCCCATAGCCCGCGTGGAGCTAGCAACTCCCATACTAGACCAATGTCATGGCGATTTCACGGACCGCTTTATAAGTATATTTTAGAGCACTTTTTCCCGCAAAAATGGACGCTCGGCTCCGTCTGTGAGCGCATTCACAGTATCACTCACACTTGTCACTTATCCCGTTGTCAATGACCGTTGAGGCACCACGGACGTTGCAACAGTCTCCCTCCATTTTATTTTGTTTTCAGCTTCTCTTAAAGCGTCGCAAAACTTCAACCCTGTCCATTCAGCGATGTTCTTCTCCCAACGCTTCTTTTGGCGGCCCCTTTTTCTCCCTCCTTGCACTGTTCCTTGTAAAATCGTCTTGGCAAGCCCTGATGATCTTGATGCATGCCCAAACCACTTTAACTTGCGTCTCTTTACTGTTGTTAAGATGTCATCATAGAACACTCTCTATCAAAAAAGAACACTAAACGAAGGGTCTCAATGGGGTTAACCGTTAGACGTCAAACAACCTAAAATTTAACCGTCAGCCCTCAAAAAAGGTAATGAATTTTTTACCGTCAACCGTCAACAATGCAGATTAATATTAATTGGAAAAAAATTAACCGTCAACCGTCAAAGGTACCACCCCAATGAGACCCTCTCAACGTTGCTGACTGGTTTGTGGGTTTTAAAAGATATTTTAAATGCGCGCCAAAACTTCCACAATTTAACTGGTTTGGTCGGTGAATACTTCATGACACGAGTACTTCGGAGCTGCTCGCTTCGGGTTATGGGTAGTCTCCTTCGAAGCCGCTCGGGCCGAAGTCATTGCCTGACTCGGCCCGAGCGTCTGCGAAGGACACTAGGTTATGGGCTCCTGTTATAAAATGATTAAAACTTTTCACAGAAAAATGGGAGGCCGTGGTGCCCTCGGACTACAACTAAATCGGCCCATGAGTAGCTGTTGCTTTAACTATTCATGAACTTCCACGAGAGGGTCTCATTGCTCGAAGCGCTGGCGTGGTATTTTCGCGCAAGGCGCGTGGGCCCCGAGAGTGATGAAGAAAACGAAGAAGACGCGTATTTTTCGCGTCTTTCCCCAGTCACGCTCTCCGTTTTCACCCTCACTCCACGCCTTTCCTTCTTCTGCTCGCGAGCGTGTTCTTAATCTAATTAATTCGGGGAGCAAAGGATGGCGCAGTAGTGAGAGCGCTCGCCTCCCACCAATTCGGCCCGGGTTCAAATCCTGGCGTAGATGCCATATGTGGGTAAAGTTTGTTGTTGATTCTCTCCGTTGCTCCGAGAGGTTTTTCTCCGGGCACTCCGGTTTTTCCCTCTCCTCAAAAACAAACATTTCCAAATTCCAATTCGACCAGGATTCAGGTAGACGAAGAACCACTTTGTGGATGTGCTTTCTCTAAATCGTTATTTATTTATTTATATTTTTAAAATCTAGCTAGATAAAACATACGGACTGTTTTGCAGTTTGTCAGTAGATGATTTCTTTTCCTTACGAGAACAAGGCGTAAGCCAGATAATTTCAAAATATTGACTGTTATGCTTTGTCTTTACAGGAGGGCTTGTGCGTATGTACCTCACTGGACCAGAGCTTAAGAGTGATCATTGTCACAAAGCTAAAGAACGTTTGACAACTAAGATTCATGATGTAATTCTGCGCATTCGTTACATACAGAAGATCATTTTACAGAGCATTGAACTTCTTAAATTATTATGTAAATAAAGTATATAAACACCCATTGGCAGTTTTTTTCCTAAAAAAAAACAAACGAACAAAACAAAACAATACAAATTAAAATAAATGCCGTTTTTTCCAAGAGCTTTTATGTTAGCCTATCTCTTGAACAAGGAACACATTTTGCTGCGAGTTTTCCTTGATCCAGTGTCTTGCTCTGACAAGAAAAAAAAACTTGCTCTTTTACTTTGAAAAGCTGAAAACTTATCAATTTTCTTCACTTGTAAGTTTTCTTGGCAAGTTTTTGAGGCTAGGTTTACACTAGAGTAAATTTTTCCGGATTAGTGACGAACCTGGAATATTGTGGTATCGGATTCGTTTGGTTGCGTGCCCGGAAAGTTTGCATTCGGAATCGAAAGTGAATACTTGGTAGTTGAATGAATTAGTTGAATGAATTTTATCGGGTTAACTGTTGCGTGTTAACGCCTAGGAATCTGAATAGTCTAAATGTTACAAATCCGCAAATATTTATGAATTTCGTTGAGCGTAAACCTAGCTTCATTTTCAAGGATCTTTGTTTTATTTCAATGCGGCTTTACTTGTGAGTTGATTGCGTGCGGCGAACCGTTTGACTTTTGACCAAGAATGGTCATGTACTTGTGAGTCCACGATACGACGTCGATAAGCCGCAAAGCGCGGCTTCGCGAGTCAAATGTGTTTGAGGTTAAAGGAGGAGAAGAAACTGCTGAACCTCAGGGTGTGGCCGATGCTGAGATACCCCATGACACCTTTTCAGCCACATTATTTAAAACGTGTTTGTTTTAGTGAAGAGAGTTAATTGCTAGTTCACACGCAAAACTACTGAGAAATGGTTTGCCATATGAGTAGTCTGCTGTCCCATATTTTCCTATACTTGATGTTTCCCTTAGAAAAATATAGGGCATTCTCGACCCCAGTGCTTACGCTTCTGACCGTCATGCGCAGAAGAGCTCTGGGGTCGAGATTAAATGGAGGGCTACTGGTAATCTATGACGTAGCCTGTAAGTCATACCCTCTCTACACCTGATCAGTATATGTCTTGAATCGTGGAAAGAAGTTGTTTTTCCCTCCCTTCTTGCAGGTGATGTATGTCACAAAGGGCTAATATAGCTTGCTTATCAGCATAACATCCCGGTGCGTTTTCGTTTTATAGCTTGCTTGGTTGAAACTGTTATCTACAATTAACAAATCTTTTTTTTCTTTTCTTTTCTGTTTTGTTTTCCTTTATTCTTTTCTTCTTTTCTTTTTTTAAAAAAAAATGGAGCACGAAAGCACCTGGACAAACCACGAGGGAAAACCATCAACGGCTTCCTTCTACATACATTGAAAACACTTAGGCTATCCTGAGTACTTTTAGATCTCTGGCTAAGAATTGCATTCTAATTAAGTGGCGCCATAAAATTTGTATATGTCTGGTCATCCAAGGGGAACTTCATTCTTGTCGAAATTACAGGGGCTTCAGAATTTTTTCCCGGAAATTTTAGATGCAACACACCTCTGAATTCGAAAATTCTAGTTTTGCTTTTTACTAAGAAAAACAGCCTAACCTGAAGAGTGAAATGTGAAAAATTAAACTTTTGAAAGTCTTAGGGAATTTATTAGATGAGCTTCGAAAATTGTTTAAGCAATCGCCCAAAAACGTTTTCCGTGTTTGACAACGCCTGATATAAAGACGACAGGGGTTGGGAGAATTCGAGACAGTTATGCAAACCCGAGACGAAGACGAGAGTTTGCATAACTGTCGAGAATAAACCAATTCCGATATATTGAAATTAATACTTGGCTGCGAGGAAACTTTTTTTCACGCCATTTTTTTCCCGCCTGTTTAGACTTTCCCTTGCCCCCACCATCTGCCCCTGGGTCTACGAGGATGCGAGGCTTGGGGGAATAGAACAAAAGAAATCATCCTGAGGCTCAATAAGAATATTATATTCCTTTTGTTTTTATTCCCCCAAGCCACAGAGCCAAGTATGTATTTTAATATGTCGTCTAATCTCCCAACCTTTCGAATGTTTACATCAGGCTATATGCAAATACAGGAGAAAAGTTGTCCTATGCTTTTATTATTTTATTAATTAACTTTAACTTTTTTAAAAGCATTGCACGCAAGCTAATTAAATGTGCCATTTTTTCTGCACTTCGAAGCATTTACGATTGATTATGCAATTCGCATTATTTTATTGTACCAGTAAACAACAGCTCAATTTAAGATGAGAACATGCCTTAAACAACATTATGCACCTGCTGGCAGCTATTTGTATTTTTCTCAAGTTATTAACAGTAACACGTAGCCTGGGTGAATACCTATGAATTGTTAACTGTCCCAAATTTTGGTAACCATTTTTCTTTTCTTAGACAGTAACGGAAAACCACCGTGGTTTAAAAGCGTTACTCGGCCCCTCCAGAACGGAAAATGTTTTAGAAACATATGGAAATAAAAGAATGATAGAAAAATAGGTAAATTAATCTCTCACTAGGTGTTCTTACGTCAACTTACAGTTAAGCCAAATAATAAAAATAGTAATGTCCAATTATTTTGGCAATTTACGTCAGTAAATGATGTAAGACTCCGGTTCTTCGGCCAGCGCGGAAAAGCCACGCACTTATTCATGTGCGCCGACAATATAAAAGTCAGCGGCTACAAGCATTGAACAAAACAGAAATTGAAAGTGGTGGACGAGGAGATGATGGCTGCGAAAAGACTATTTTCAGTCATAGTTTTTATGATTTTAAGCAAGCTTAAGGAAGTACAGAGTGACGAAGTATGGCAAAAAGAACAATTTCCAAACCCAGCGAGAGATATCGAAGCCTGCGGTCGTCGAGGGAAGGTTTCGTGGATCTGTGATCCCGACAACATTCTCAGCTACGAAACTGCTAACAAGGTCGAAGAGCTTCTGTTTTCTGTAAGGAAGAATACAGTTTCAGGTTGTAGCACTAGCAGCGAAAATCCTGGATTTCAAATTGGTGTTGCAGTTATGAAGAAAATGCGTGGCGTTGCAGATGAATCTATCGCTGTTACAGCTGAAAATTTCGCTAAACACTTGCATGACAGATGGGGAGTTGGAAACGCGGGATGCGATGATGGCGCGGTTCTCTTGCTTTCGATCACAGACCGACAGATTTATGTGTCCACCGGAAGAGGAGCAAAGGAAAAGTTGACAGATGACCAGATCGATGTCCTTATCGAAGAAATAAAGCCGTACTTGAAGAAGGAAAAGTACGACCAATCTGTAGACCTTGCGGTTGTAAGGATGGGCGAAGTTTTCAGTGGAAAGGTTTTAAAACAGCCGATCGACTACGGGCTAATCATTTTCTCCGTCATATTTTTTGGGATGGCTGGTTTTGGGCTGTACATTGCATTCAAGAGTGAAGATGAGCGTTATGATTGCACCACAAAACTGGAAAGGATCCAAGAGGAGCGAGACAGAGCTAAGCGGTCCCAGAAATCCTATGCAAGCAAGTCCTGCCCCATTTGCTTGGAAGAATTCGAGCCCGAGACCAAAATCAGACTGCTAGCGTGTGGTCACAAGTACTGCGAGCCCTGCTTAGTGAAGTGGCTGGAGGATCATGTCACTTGTCCAATATGCCGAAAGGCAGCGGACGGACGTGGTGGCGTCAATGGGGCCTGCCACTCATCTACTACCTTTGACTTCACTCCTGAGCTTCAGTTCAGACTGATGATGCTTCAGTTACAGCACCCATTTTATATCAACAGCAGCATGGTAGACAGGTGGAGTAGCAGCAGCTATACAGGAAGCTTTCTGTCTGATCCTGTCTTTTTCAGATCATCCATGCCTGGTGGTGGTAGTTTTGGAAGTGGGAGTGGATTTGGTGGAGGTGGAAGTAGTGGAGGTGGAGGACGAGGGGGAAGCTGGTAGAGTAAGATCGCCAGATCATAACTGATCTAGTAAAACTAGACCCTGAATTATACTCTAGGTTCCACTTAGACAGTAAAATCGAGACCACTTCAAAGAAATAATAACAGTAATTATTTATTCCTAAAAATCTGGATAAATGTACAGCTGAAATAACACTACTGTAGTACTTGTAATTCATTTATTTTGCAAGTATGCAAAACAAAATATGTATTAAAAAATCAACAGGATAATAAAATGTTTTAAGATCTGAAGTCCACATGATCTTCATCCTGTGTGTGCATATTAAAAAGCCTGTTGCACACACAGAGGAATCCTCAGTTTTCAAGCCTATGGGGAGTAAAGGAATACTGTTTTGAATTATCAAAGAGCTGTGTTTGGTTGTGCAGGGGAAGACAGTTTTGGCTTAAAGTATTGTGAGGTTTGAGAAGCCAAGGATTTGTAAAAATTTGTGATTTAACTGTATCAGCATTACTATGAATGTTTCATGGTATTTGTGCTTCTGACCTAGTGCTAAGATGTAGTTTATGTAGTAAATACCTTTATGAGTTGTTTTGCACATGGATGACTGTTTTGCAGAAATGGAATGAGAACACTGTGAAAATGAATATTTATTGTTAAAGAAGTAGTATTGATAAATAAAGATCTTTAACTAAGCAGTATTATTAAGAAATAAAGATCATTAAAATACATGTTTCTTATTTTAATGACTGTTGCATGTTAATTTAAAATGTCTCATGTGAACAAGATTAAGGCTCCTACCAAGTTCCTTCGAGGGGTTGCATTTCGAAAATTGAAAGACAATGTAAGTTTGTGTTGCGTCTTTTACTGTCTTTTAGCTTCTAGACCCATTCCAAAGCTGTTTTGGTGAAGTTTAGAACACAAAACAAGGTGAATTATTTCGAATCTCCTCAAAAAGAGGGAGTTTAATAGAACACAATTTGTTTATTCCCATACATTCTCTAATAAAATTCAATTTAAAGAGGATCATTGCAGTAAAAGATACAAAAGAAAAAAAAACAGGAAGTGAAAAGAAAGCCTGAAAAAAATGTTTGAGTTGAAGTTTTTGTTTTGCAACTACTTGAGTCGCATGTTTAACTGGGATGATGATCTTTATATTCATTTCTTCTTTCTGAGGTTCAAATATATAAATTCATATATCTATCGTTTCAAAATTTAATTAGCCTGTGTTCACAGATCACCCTCTATATTTTTCTCTTCAAAGTCCGTCGCGCGCGTGATAAAAAGTAAAAACCGCGGGGGATATATTTTTTTTTATTAAACTCCCTTTTGGGCTACCTGTGGCTACGGACGCTGTTCAGTACATTACAACAATCATATATGACGCACAGCCCTCTCTTCAGCAGCCGCTGGTTAATTATCCACTGATAGCCGGCTCAGCTTTGAACAGCTGAAACCGGAAGTCGTTCAAAGTGTGTTCAGCTGTTACCTCCCATTTGCTGTTAGCGAGCTGTTGATTTTTCTTTTCATTACATTTCAATAATGATCAGGCGAAATAGTACTCAGGGAGCTATAAGAGCAGGTAAGTGAACACTGCAGATAGGTAAATTAGAAATGAGTTGGGTTTTGGACGAAATATGATCTGAAGCGAAAGAACAGACATTCGATGTCTAACCCTCCGTGCATGCTACAGTTGGTATTTTTCTCACCAAAGACAAAATTTCGTAGATTAGGTGGAACTTTGGCCAGCTGTGGTTCAATTTTAGAGGTTAACTTTTGCTTATCAGTACAGATAAGAAAGCCTCTTTCTTTCTTTTTCATTGATAGTTTGCGCGCCAATTTTAAATGTCACATGTTTTAACTACACACATTTTATACCATGCCAACCAAAAGAAAAATTCTAAAGAGACGAAAACAATCCTGAAGAACAATGCTTGGGGTCATAAATGACGATATGGAAATTCATCCTATGAAGATTTTTGAATTAAAGGTAATGTTTTCCAGAAATATGAGAGAAATTCTAAACTTTGTTTTTGAAGTACTAAGAAGCTGACATTATCTGACAATGAATCCCATTTTGAAATTCATAATGACATTTTCAAAAGATTACCAAAGATCCAAAATCCCTGGTCCAAAACAGGATCTGGAATTTACCTTCTTTGATGGACTGGATTTGGTATTTTAGGGGTGTTTACATGACACCGGGGCGACTTTCACCCCGAAGCGAGTTCACTCCGGTTCCCTCTCATGGCTCTATATTTGTCTACATGATACCACCACAAAATGTCGTGCCAGCGCAAGTCACCCCGGCATGAGTTCACTCCGGCTCTTGTACCGCGGCGAGAATTTCACTCCAGTACAAAAACTCGCAGCGGTATCATGTAAACGCGAAATGACCACCCGTTTTAGTGTGAAATCGGTCTGCCGGTAGACTGGAATGGATAGCGCATGCGTAATGTTGGCGATTTTGAATCACACATGTATTTTCAACATGAAATGACCCAGTCATCATGTAAACGCGATATGAAATCAAAAAGTCATCCCGTTATGAGACTCGCACCAGTGCAAGTTTTCTCATGTAAACACCCCCTTAGTGTAAATAGGGAAACAATAGCATAAGTGCACGAATGACATCAGAGTGACTAATTTGCAATTTTTGTCTGAGTTTTGTCATTTTTCTCATTTTAATGACAAGGACAGACAAACATGTCAAAAGTGAGGAATTTCTTAATGTTAATTTCAGTTTGTTTGTCTGCATTTCGGGTCTATAAATAGTAACTGTGTGCAGCACTTTTGAATCAAGATTGTAATGATGAATGGGATATAATACCACCTGTTGATATTATATTGCTATGCATGAGCCCATGAGTTGGGTGATGTGAACCATGAGGTACATGTCGAGGCATGGGGATGATTATAATGCACATTTGTGTAGAACCTGTTATGTTTTACTGAAAATAAACATGAGAGTCAGAGACCTGTTAGCTACAATCATTTAGTTGTGTTTTTACTGCCTGAAAGCAGTATTTTGTATTTTGTATTTTATGTTTTACTCAATCCTATAGATAATAAATCAGTTGTACAATATTAATTAGTACAAGGTTGAACAAGGTAGAACTACGCATACATAATGTTAGCAAAAAAAAAAATTTAGAATGGAGAAGGGCACATTATAGTGAAACTAATTATAATGGCCCTTTAACAAGATTGACTTTATTCTAGTTATAGCTTTGTTATTCATTAAAACACAAACATGCACGCACGCACACACACACATGCACACAAGTCAATATTGAGCAAGATAATATTTTGTAAGTGCCTTTTTTGAACAACAGGAACTCTTACACAAAAAACTAAATTATTTAAACACACAAAAAGGCAACAAAATAACACTGAACTAGCCAGCTTCAAAAGACGCAGCCTTCATCATCGCTGACCGGTGACCCTACTCGCAGTGCAGATAAGCAGTGGTTATCAAGACCACTTAACAGGAATTTATGTTGAGGGATTTGGGAAATGAGATATCCCACCATGCCCTCTCATACACATAACTAGTTGTCAAATGGTCTGCCAATAACTTAAGAACAATCATTCTCTCGGCTCAGTTAGGAGAGTGCTGGTCTGCACAGAAAATCTTGGGAGGTGACAGGCTCTAGCGCTGGCCAAACGACTGACCATGCAGGCTCCAGTTGTTTAAAAGATGGTTCGCGCTACACACCAGATAATTAAATCACTACCAAATGGATCAGTATAAGGAAAATGAAGAGCATTATTTACTGGATAGAATGAGATTTATTTGGCGCTTTAATATTTTAAGTGCTATCCACCTTGGCCAGGTTGTTCAAAGCTGCGTTAAGATAACCCAAGGTATTATAGTCTGGAATGTGAATTCAGATATCAAAGCATGATAGCAAATTCAGTTTAATTCTCTCTGTCTGCAATTTGTTGAGAGGATTCTCTGACTAGAGGAGAAAATTATCGGAGAAAATGCTTTTGAACAAAAGAAGGAGAAACATGGCTTAAATTTAATCCCAAGTTAGTGCTAATCAGCCTTCGAACAAATGGACCCTTATGTTCAACTGGGGTCAGAGTCTATACTGGTATGATATTGCTGGTTGTGATAATTAGTTCAGATGATTGCATCACTAGACGGTGAGTTAAGGCATTGGCATTGTCTTCTTTGTCTGTTCCTTTTTAGCTTGTCAATATTATAAAAAGAGGATGTAAAAAAGCGTTGATTTAATTTGCTTCCATTATTACACCCAAACTCTGAAGTTCAAAAGCCGCCTTCACAATAATTGCATTTTTCACTGCTGTCAATCATAATTATGATTACAAGCAACAAACCTTAAAACACAGAAATGCACAAAATGGATTAAAATCAACCAATCAGAATTCACATACAGTGTACCAGCACCTTTTGAACTCCTTGAAATAGAGTTCTGTTTCCTAAGAGGTCTGCTACGATGATTGATGGCAGCAAAGAATGCAAATTTTAATTGGCTATTGAAGTTCAGAATTCACTTGTTTTTGAAAAGCACAGTAAGGCAAATTTATCTTTCCTTCAATGAGCATTATAACCACCCAGCATGTGTATTTCTGTAGAGCTTATAGATTCAAAACCCAAATTATGACTTGTTAATTAAATTAGCCAACAACATTCTATTAATTAAAACATATAAATATAAATATAGTTTTACTCTGTAAAGTTCAGTAGATATTAAATTAAAAAGCTACACCTTTTCTGATCTCCCTGCTTATGATATATCTATTTCTGCATTTCACTCTTCTTACTTTTTATGCTAGGTATCCATCGGCACTTTTAAGATGAAAAGCCAAGAGGACAACAAAGTTAAGTTAGAACAACTCAAGAAGCATGGACCACTTCCTTTTCCTGAGATCTTATTGTACTGGGTTTTGTGGATCTCAATGTGTTCATACTCTATGTATAACATCTTTATAGCCTCACGAGGTATGGCGTCTCAAACTACTGTGTACATGTATGTGTTAATTATTGTCCCAAGGATGAAATGGCACCTGTCTCAACATTTTAATATTACTCCAAACCATTTGGAAACAAGCATCACTTTCTCTATAAACAATAGACTTCCGTTAATTTAAGGATATTTATTAAGCTCTCCCCTCCATTTGACCTTGTACCTCATTTCTGCCTCAGATTGTTAAGAAAAGATAATTAATAATATTAATATTATTCTCAAATTATTAATGTTTCACTTTGAGGAGCACTTCAATCAAGATTTAGTAACATTAGATCCCATTATGTTGCTCAAATACTGACAGTCAACTCTCTTGAAAAAAAGCACCAGTTTTAGCTAAATCTTTGGGCCCCAAAATATTACAACTATGTCACACCTTGCAAAATATTTCTCCACCTGTTTCCTAGATGTATAACCACGAGGTTTGCAGTTACTATACGCAAATCCGTTAGGTGTTTTGTGGTCAATGTAAAATTCAGTTTATTTTAGGTATGTATACAGGTACTCTTCGTTGTATTGTAAAACGCCCTGATGAAGGGTGGGCTAGACACACGAAACACATAGGAGACAATAAAACAATTTTACAACTCAAGAAGTTCGCAGAAGTGCTTCTCACTGGTTTATCCTTTTAAAAAATATATTCTAAGGATATTCTGAAGTAACCGAGGGACAGCAAGATGACAGGCTGTTTTAAGGGGGTGATTATATAATGTGTTTATTGAGAAGGAGGTTCATGAATATTCATGAATTGAGTGTACTTCCTGATGTTTGGACTGGACCACCGCTACCTGTAACCCCCCCCCCCTCCCCCCGCCTGTTTCCTTCCTACCTGGTTCATGATTTGTGTACCTGATAAAGAATTATTTTAAAACTTAGTCTTTAACTCTCTGTAGAGTCTGCCATAGTCTGTTGCTTCAAGGTCTGGGGGTTACTCTTTGGGTGGGGATGTGCTACCTTGACCCCCAAACCCTTAGCCAATACCAGACCTAATTTGAGTAAAGATTGCTAGACTAAACTCCACTAACCCATTCCAATTCTAGAGTCGCTATTCTCCAAAACTACTGAGAGTCAATTCCCTGTTTCCCTTGCCCAGACTAAAATCTTTAACCAGTTGATCATTTTCCTGGAAAATAAAAACCTATTCAAGACCCAAACTCTCTGATTTGTATGCCCGATCCCAGACTTACCTGTTTGAAAACCACACCCTTCACAGCGTTATTACCTACCGGTATGTTTGTATATACAATGTATATAGCTTTCATACATGTATGACATTTTTTACACCCTCACGGGCTCTAAGGGTTCTTTTCAAAACTCTTGTCAGAGACAAAGTATTGTGCTTGTTTCATAAAAATTGCTATCAGAGTGACCATCCTCTCGCTGTTCACAAGAGGACAAGGAGAAAAAAAAAGTTTTATTTGTTATGTCCTTGTAGGGTGTTGTTCTTTCACTTTATTATGTTTCAATTTTCATAGAACATAAAGATGAAATCTACGAAGAGGATTTAAAAGAAGGATGGACGTTTCTGGGGAGAAAAAAGGTCCATATAGTTTTTATTGTTGTTCTTGTTGTTTTTTTATTCAAATGGGGTGTACCGGTATGTCACTTTTATTGTAACACCATATCATTGGTACAGACTAATCCACTGAAGTTTCACGCGTGAGAGGCGAGCGAAGCAAAATTTTCACGCAACTCGCCCGAACTCGTCCATGTGATGAGGAGCTATAAACACGCAAGTAGACACGTCAGGAAATATCCTTGATGTTTGAGGCGTCTTTGGAAATAGCTGCAGTCAGTTTAACTTATGAGGATCATCGCATCTTTGCGTTCATCACCTTATGACATGACCTTTACTTGCGCTGCGACTGGAAGTGATGGGCGGCGTTCGGGTGTTTGAGTTTCAGCAATTGCAGCCTGCGTAGCAGGCGCAAAGAGGAGGGGAGAGAGAGAGAAAAACGCGAAATGGAAAATCCCCCTCCCTTTTCTTCCTCCTGCTGATCCACTACCCCTTTCAAATTTCAATACCTTCTACGTACGCCAGAGAAATTAGTGCACGGTTCTCGACTTATCTCTCGTACTGAACAGTAATAAAATACAATGAAATAATTGATTTGCAATAAGGTTCCATTTGTGAAATTTATGTTTGATGCACTTGAAAGCAGTTTCATTGTCAGTTTTTTTTTTAACAAATCTAGTTAGCCCGCAGAATACGGGCGCTATTTTTTTGCGTTTTTCAGGCGAATAGGACGTGGAGCGCGAGACACGCGCGAAGCGGGAAGAAAAATTGATAGTACGCCTGTTCTATGCAGGCTAAAATCTAGTGAGATAGATGTTCTTCACTTTCAGAAGCACTAAATAACTTTTTTTAAAAAAATGTAGGATGTATCAGATTTTGAATGGGAATTTTGGACAAGAACAGTAGCAGTCATAATACCTGCCATGTTGGTTCACATGATTGGAGGACTCGTTTTTTCTCGTTTCTTTCCTCAGGTGAGATCTGTGGTGATTGAATTTGGTTTTTCCATATAAAAAAAAACAAAAAACAATTTAGCTCAATTTGAGAAATGTTTGACTCAGAATGTATTTAAATTAGGTTCATACTCGTCAACCTGTTCTATATTTGAGCACCAAAAGGTCGCGAGCTCTTCAATAAGCGATCTTTTTCGATGATTAAGACTTGGTTTAGTACCGGGCTCGAGGTATGTTTGTAGCCCTTGTGTACCCTCCCCACCCCCCTTCCTCCCCGACCCCTATTCCGCGCTTGCAACGCAGCCCGCTCATCCCCAGGTAGACGTTCAGAAAAGTCCTTCGTCCGATTTAATGTGCGCAACTAAGTCGCTCACTTGGCTACTTCGCGGCCTAAAAAGCCCGCTCCGCTCGCTAAGAAGCTCGTGAGGTTGACTTGTAGCAAGTCTAATCCCCAGGACATCTTCGCGCGCCGGCTGGAGGTTTTTCGCCACGTGCACAAATTTTGTAGCGCTTCAACCAAAGACGTGTTTTTGGAAAACTTTTCATTTACTTGCAAAGTGACATATTGCCTATTTAGTATTTCCGACGATATAAGGCCCTCACTTAGTTTCTATAGCAGGGTCACATTGACGTACACGTGTCATTTCGAAGGCGAACTGACATATAAGACGTAGGCGAATCGACTCTAGTCGTAGGCGAACAGACCGTAGGCGAAACGACCCGTAGGCGAAACGACCGGATACCATTTTGATTCCCCATCACAAGCTATAGGATCGGGTTCAGTTTTTTTTTTTGCTAAGGCTTGCGAAGGGCGAAAGCTCTCGCCCTAACTTCCAGGCAACAGATTGAACTTTTTTATACGGAACTTAACGACTGCAGGTTAATTAATCCATTTTCATTTCTTCATTACCGTAGTTCAAAGCCATCTATTGCCTGATGTTTACATTGTCTTTTTGGCTCTATGCTACTGGATGGAAAGCAGTCGTCTTTATGATCGCTTACTGTCTGATTGTCTATGGATTTTGTGCTGTCTTCAAATCTGTTATCGTGCTGTGGACGTGTTGCGTGGCTCTTTCGCTTTCTCTCCAGATCAACGTCACTAGAATCTGGCAGGTATGATTATGATATTGCGATTCTTCGTAAGTTTAAAACAACCTGAGCCTGTTATAGATTATTGTATTAAAGCAAGTGCGTTCCTTGGATTTTCCCGAGGTAGGCGCGCAGATTTCAAATCATCTCTACCCGGTCTCCCGGCAGATTGGCCATGCGGGCAACTTAAAGATACAGTCAAAGTCAGCTTTACAGACCAGTGGCGGATCCATGAGATAAGGGAGGCCCGGGGGACCCGGAGGGCCCGGCCCTCCCTTATCTCAGGGTCTGGATGACCCACCCCCCTCCCCCCCCTTATCTGAAGGTCTGGATCCGCCACTGCGACACCCGCTTAGTACGGACGCCTCATTATTAATGATAAGGTAATTGGACCTTAGACTTCAGGCAGCAGTTTGGACTTGCGCGTGTGGCAACTCGTCTTGTAAATTGCTCGTTTTGCTTTGAAAAAGTATCCGGTAGAAGTAAACCCGGAGTTACATGGTCCCGGCAATTCCGCCTTTTTCAGCTTTTTATCTACTGCTCACTCCTTTGCTTTGTTTTTCTATGTTGTTTTTGTTTTTATTTATCTTCGCCCTTTTTTCAACGCACTTGCCTCCGCAGCGCTCTACCGGGAGAGATTGCTCGCAGGCTATTTTTTTCCAACTAGTGGTCTATTAACAATGCTCCGTTCTGATTGGTTGAGCTACTACTAGGCCATATGTTATAGCCCACTAGTAGCGAAAAGCGCAAGCTTTTTGGCGGCAAGAAAGCATTAAAGTCTAGCTTTAACTAGCTAAAGTTGTTTTGTCTCAATATTTTTGACCAACAATTATTCCTCCCGACCTCGTGGCCTCTGAGTCAATAGCCCATTTGACCTTCGGCCTCTCAGCTCAGAGCCCATTTGGGCTCAAGGAATAATTGTTAAATAGTGCCAAGGACGCGAACTTTTCTTTTCTTCCCTTGTGCACGCTCCTCCTCGAAATTCCTCCCTTCGCCCAACCATCGGAGGTATTCAAAGAGGATAGCGACGGCAAATTGTTGTTGCTTGAAATATTTAAAAGTCTTAAGTGCTTTCGGAACTTTACGGTAATAATTGTCACGTCAATCATTATTTCTTAGATCGATGTTCTCAGCACCGATCCTCAAATAAAGAATCTCATCTTGTTTGCGTCCATGATGTCCGTTTTACGATGTATAAGTTTTGGAGTTGACTACTGCTGGCGGTCACGTGAAACACATAAAGACAAACCACTGAAGCCTTACTCTTTAATGGATCTTCTCGTCTACAACTTTTACTTCCCAGTGTTTGCCAATGGACCAGTTATCACTTTTGATAATTTTCAAAAAACGGTTAGTGCAGCTAATTGTAGGCTATAAACACTGAGGTATATCTCGTTGAAGTACAAATAAAAAATGACATCACTCTCAACGCAAGAAGTTTTTGAAATTCGAATAGAGTTGTATAAATGGGATCGTGTGTTCTTAAAGCTGAAGTGAAGGTTTTTCGGACGATGTTGTTATATTAAATCGCATGTCTTCAAAATGGCCATAAATGGTGTGAAGCTTGTTTATAGTTTCAAAAAAAAGTATATCGTGGAGAAATTTGTGGGTCTAGTGTAAGCACGCTTGAAGGCTATTGCAGTTTTTGTGTGGTTCCAACCAATGGTGGAGCCACTCTAATGCCGGCACACCAAAACTCGAACCACATTGTTTATAATTGAGCTTGGTTCACAAGAAATCACTGGTGTGAACCTGGTAGGTTCACCATAAGATATAGTTCTTTTATTTTACGAGCTTTTGTGAACCAGCGAATATGAGAAACCATTTTCCTTTCGTCTTCGATATTTGTATTAGGAAATGTATATACCTGTATTTTGGAAA